GGTTTTAGGGTTTAGGGCTTCAGAGTTTTAGGGTTTAGGGTCCTACGGTTGATGATACAAATCCTGAATGACCCATAATAAGGAACAGGCCATAAATCACATAGTTTAGGCTCCTTAAGGAAATGCAGGATTTAGATCATCAACCGTATCATTTTTGGGAACCTCAACATGTAGAATTTCGAGATTAGGGTTTTAGGGTCTAGGATTAGAATGGAGTTAAGGTGAGTAGTGCTGGGATTGGTGATACTTTACCGTAAAGGCATCAGGATAAGGATATTACCACCAGGCTCTTCAGTAACACCCGTTGAAAAGAAGTATGCACATTTTTAGGTTAGTTGCAATATACTAGGAACCCAGGAACCCAAAAAGCAAAAAACACAACGCTACCCTAAATCCTAAACCTTAAACCCTAAACCCAAGCAGCCTAGACAATGTTCCAACCTTACGGCTTCTACGATTCTACTTTGCTATAATGGAAGCCGACTAGGTGAGGGGAGGCACAAGCCCAGGGTTTTGCAGGGCTTGCTAGCGCTTGGCGTTTGAGGGTTGAGATTTCGGGTTGGGGACCTGAGGTTCAGGATTTGGGGTTTAGGGTTTAGGATTTAGCGTTTAGGGTTTAGGGTTTAGGGGCTGAGTACCCTAGCCCAGAAAAGGTTAACCTTTAAAAATGAAAGTATGGTTATATAAGCCCCGAAAGGTTAAGGGTTACCAACTCAGCCCCTAAGGGTTTAGGGTTTAGGATTTAGGGTGTAGGGAGAGTCCGACAGGTTTTGAGCTGGGTTCCGGCAGCTAACGCGAGTGGCTTGCGGCTGCAAGTGCCGCAGGGCTACAAGTTGCAGACCCTAAACCCTAAACCCTAACCCAAGTTGCAACACGTAGACCCTAAACCCTAAACCCTAACCCAAGCCCCAGCTCCTAATCCGCCATGTAGGAGCCACCGGAGAATTGGATAGCATCGGCTTAGATACCAAGGATCAGGATTCAATGTTCCAGGCTTCGGGATCGGCGTTTTTGGATCTAGGGTTCCCAGAGACTCCAATATTCCTGGACTAAGGAATATACAGTAAATCTTATTAGGGTTCTCATTGCGATTTAAGGTATATTCCTTATTTCAGGAATATTGGAGTCTCTGGGTTTAGGGTCTGGGATGTCGCATTGCGGGTTGGGTTTCAGGTTTGCATTTAAGCTTCAGGGCTTGAGCTGTTGGGCACGGTTTACGAGGCAAAGTTCCATGACGGGGTGTCGAGTACAGGCAAGCATGTCACGCCAGGGCATGTAAAGGGGCGCCTTAATGACGAGAGTCGGGCTTCTGTGGAAAATATAGTAGAACTACATTGAGGAACCGATGGACCTACTGCTGCCACTACTGGTGCTTAGTCAGGCACCTATATTACAATGTTGAGTAGTATCGTAACTCAGCGACCTATACATTGCTTTGCTAGTGCCAAGTTGCAAGGACCACGCCGTGAAATGGGTCGCCGGCGTACCATTCTGTGTCCTTCAGCAAAGATCAGCCCGGGGTTTGGGCATCAGGATTTAGGGGTGCCATATCATATAAACAGGCTAGATACCTTAAAGGCTGCTCCGTGTTACGAACCTCCGTGTTCTGGGCTCAGAATGCCAGAGGGTGAGGGCGAGAGCGAGAGAGAGAGGGAGACGGAGACAGAATAGTGACAGGGCGAGACAGGGAGATAGAGAGGGAGAGACAGAAGAAGAAAGGAACAAAAAAAATCAGAGAGGAACAGAAAGACAGAGATGGATCGATCACTTCATCACTCCTTCCCCATCCCTCTGCTCTCTCCCTCTCTCTTCTCTCGCGCTCTCTCCCCCTATCTCTGGCTCCCGCCATACCTACGAACAATGATGATGCTGACCATCATGCACTGCAGCAATAATCTTAGTTGCTGAGTTCATAAGCCAAACAAGTGCACACTTTCAGTTTCATAAAGAGTCATATCACCCCAAAAAGTTTAAAGTGTACTCATTCAGCTACTAAGTAATGAAAGCAAAAAGATACAGTACCCAGCGTCCTTTAGCTTCCGAGCCAAAGTAGGCGGGATCGGCCTGACAGATGTTAAGGTTTGGGATTCTCGCTGGTTTCGGCATCCGGGAGTTGAGAGTTGAGGCTTTTAGGCTTCCGGGTTTGCCTAGTTAAAGCCGCAACACTACACCCGAAACCAGAGAGCTCTAGTTTCAAGCCTTCGGAGCTTTGGGCGATTGGGGTTCAGGAAGCAATGCGCTGCTTCACGGAATCATCTATGGGGCTGTAGTGTTTAGGGTGTTGCGGTATTCGGGTGCAGGGCTTAGGACTGAGTCGGTATAGGGTGTTGGATTTTGGTAAGGCATTTGAGGGGGGAGACTATACACGAAAATACACGCCACCAGGGCATCATGTTCTGCAAGCTAGTGTGCCTCAAAGGACTGAGTCCTTGGACCTTGTTGGGGGAGTTGGGGTGCGGGGCTTGGGGCGGCTTGGTGAATACAGCGGGTCATTATTTGGACTGTGTTCCACTCTAACTCAAGTAAGGAACCCTAAACCCGAAAGCACTACGGTTGATGATATAAATCCTGCATTAGCTGAAGGACCCTAAACTATGGGAATTATGATATTCCCTACTATGGGTACCATCAACCGTACCATCGCTGCTTTGGGTCCATGTTCAGGGCTTTAAGGACGAAGAGGGGAGTCTCCACAGCTGCGAGGCAGCCGGCGATGCTCTTTAACGTTTTTGGGCTTACCCATAGGCCCTAAGTAGTTCCTTTTTGGGATTACCTTCCCTAAACCCTACACCCTAAACCCTAAAGGCCCTAAAGGCCCTAAACCCTAAATTATAGGATTCTAAATATAGACAATAAAACGGAACTACTTAGGGGCCTATGGGTCCGGCTAAATGCCTTGCCGGCCTTCCGGGGCTGAGGGCTTTAGGCCTTGTAGGGTAGGGCTTAGGGTTTAGGGCTTAGGGTTTAGGGTTTAGGGTTTAGGGCTTAGGGCTTAGGGTTGAGGGCTTAGGGCTTAGGGCAACATGTGAAGCCATGGTGTAGCTGGACGAGATGTGAGCCTTAGCCTTCTCTCCAACACTCGTACAGTGGCCCAACTTCTAAACTTCTAAACTCTTTCTAAACCCAAGACTCTTGTACTGTAGTGCCGACGCCATGCACCACCATTCAATCGGAGCTGTTACCTAAACCCTAAACTCTGCAGCGTGAGTCCTGGGCCTCTAGACTGTGCAAGGCTTTAAGTGACAGCAAACTCAACACCGTGATCCTCATATTAAACTTACTTCCCACATACCAATGGGTTGAAAAGCTCAAACTCAAACTTTTAGAATAAGACTACCTCATACTAGCCCCAACAGTTGAAAAGTTGGGTCTTGGACCAATGAGAAAAAGATCCTAACTCGATCATAACGCCTGAGTCAGCTGAGCCCTCTCCCGTCAAAACATCATCCCTAAACCCCAACTCTGTGACTTGAAGCCTCAACATCAGCCGAAACCGATTAACAGACAACGGGAAGAACGAGCCAAAAAAAACACCCAAGTGTCAAACACCCCTGAACAAGCCCCCTCTCAAAAACAACAGAAATGACAAACCCAAAGACCATAAAACCCTACGAGTTGGCAACCCTGTTTAGATAAGGTGTTGTGTTTTGATTTGTGCCTGGGCCCTAAACCCTAAACCCTAAACCCTCAACCGTCTTCCCTATGAAAAGGCCAAGGTACACCTCCCCCGCGCTCCGCTGCATGATATCGCCGAAGTTGGCCTGGCCATCTTTGTGCACCTGAAATTCACCCAACGGGCTCCTTCTAGGGTTCCTGTAGGGTTTAGGGTTTAGGGTGGTTTAGGGTTTAGGGTTTAGGGTCTTCTACGGTTCCTTTAGGTTTTTGTTGGAGCACCTGGTTACGACAGCAGACCGTCCAGTCTTCCGGGTTCAGGGTTTAGCTGCAAAACAAGCCAGAGAGAACATGACTCATGACTGGTGCACAAAATCATGATCAAACTCAACAATCGAATGACACAGTCCTCAAATGGTACTGCAGCAATTCCCAATCTATCAGCCGGCTCTCAGTCTCATCACTCGGGACTGCGGGACTGTGGACTGCATCGCCTGGGACTGCATCACTTGGGACTGCAACACTCGGGACTGCATCACCCAAGGGGACTGCACGACCAGGGACTGGGATCACCCTCACCCAGTGCTTGCGCTGCAACAGCAGGACTGAGGGATGGGGCACTGGGAGTGCCCGGCTCATAGCCCTCTGAGGGATGCCGGGTTGCCACGGGTTCTCCACGGGTCTTCATCTCGACCAAGAGTTTGGCCTTGAATGGATGGGCCGACAACTCCAGCTGTTGCGCGGAGGTAACTCTGGACACCAGCCATTGTGGTCGCCTCAACACAGAGAACCACAATATGTGTAAATACATGTCCTGCCATGTCACGCAGTGCGTGCATCTGAATGACTATGGTCCCACTGGCGATCCCGGATTCCTATTCCTTTCATACTTCAACCGTTTCTGCACCCCGAAACCCTCTTCTAAGGCCTCTGCACCTCCGCCAGGACTTCTAGAGGCCTTGAAGAAGCCCTTAAAGGAACCCTTACGCCCTAAACCCTAAAACCCTTACTGAAGATCCCTAAAAAGACCCGCTCAAAGGAACCCCGGTGGACCCCTTAAACCTTTTAGCACAGTTTAGGGCTGAGGGTTTAGGGTGTAGGCTGTAGGGCCTGGAAAGCAAACCTTGGAGGAACTCGATTCCCCACATAACTGTAGGGGGACTTAATAGTTAGAGTAGGGTTTTGGGATATGTTATATTATACTTAGATTAAGGAACCGTCCAAAAGCGTCTAGGCAATGATTTTGGCCCCGACAGTATTATACCTTCAGCCCGGCTTTTGAAGAAGCCTCTCCCCCTGAAAGCCCTCCAAAAGGCTGAACAAAACTTTGGTAGAACTCTAGGGTAATATAGAGGCCTTAATGATTTGAATAGGGTTTGGGGCCATATCATACTACAATTATAATAAGGAACCCCCAAAAACCCCATTCTAGTTATTGAGGCCCCCACATTATAGGGTTTAGCTCTGACGCCTCAGTAAAGACCCCCGACACAGCCCGTCGAAACCTTGAGGTTCATGATGGTTTAAGGTTGAGGTTAAGGCTTTTACTAAGGCCCCAGTCATATAGAGCCCAGGTCTCAGGGATCCTTATGGTTTAGGGGTTAGGGTTTAGGGTTTAGGGAATTAATGCTACTGTTGATGATAGAAATCCTGCATTACCTTAGGGACCTTAAACTATGGGAATCATGGTATATTCCTTGTTATGGGTAATGCAGGATATATATATATATATCATCATCATCATCAGCCGTATAGAGCCCCAGTGTAGATCCTGATAGCCCCGTTTACGTTTAAGGTACCCTTTGAAGCAAACCCCCCCCCCCCCGCCAAACGAGTCTTTAGGCCCTTAAAGGAACCCTCATATAGACTCCTTAAAGGAACCCTTAAGGGAACTCCTATCAAATCCCGTAAAGGAACCTTTAAAGGAATCCCTATAGAGGCCACCTTCCCAGTCTTCTGGGGGCCGGGCATCCGCCGACATGTCCCCCATCGCTTGGTAAAGGCCTCCGGGGATTGGTTTCCTAAACTATAAAGCCAAAGCCCTATAAACCCAGTACCGAAACGCCCTGAACCCTGAACCCAAAACCCAATACCCAAACGCACTGAACCCTGAACCCAAAACCCAAAATCCAAGACCCTAAAAACCCTATAAACCCAAACACCCTAAACCCTAAACCCTAAACCCAAAAGGGTTTAGGGCTTAGGGCGGGTAGGGCTTCGGGGGGCCGAATGCTTGCAACAAGGGCCTCTGCGGCTCTGATGCGACACGGTTTAGGGCTTTAGGGTTTTAGGGTTTAGGGTTTAGGGTTTGGGGTTTAGGGCTTATGTATGGGCCTCAATGATCAGAACAAGGTTCTGGGGTATGTTGTAGTAGAGGGCTTAGGGTTAACAGTATTTCTAAGGATGGGGGGCAGGTTTCGGGTGTGGACCTAAACCCTAAACCCCAAAATCCTAAACCCTAAACTCATAACCCCAAAATCCTAAACCCTAAACCCGCGCAAACCCTTAAAAGGGGTGTTGTGTCGGAAGCCGCAAAAGCTGGGATGACGGTAGGTACGGCTGATGATATACCCCATAACAAGAAGGAAGATACCAGAATCCCATATAGTTTAGGATCCTTAAGGTAATACAGGTTGTAGATCATCAACAGTAGCATTAATTCCCTAAACCCTACACCATAAGGATCCCTGAGACCAGGTCTCTTCGTTAGGATTGCCCCACCTACCTTCATCCTACCCCCTGCAGCCCTTCCGGGTTGTAACGAGCGACATTCCCAAAGGGCCCAATGCACCTACATACTAGAGTGTAGGGTTTCTATATTAGGAATATATAATTAGTTATTTTGATTTGGGAAAGTACACCCCCCCCCCCCCTATAACAGCACTAAGCCCTAAACCCTAAACCCTAAACCCAAAATCCCTGAACCCTTGGGGATTATCCACGGTACGTCCCCGCCGCCTTGTCTGTGGTCGTGGGCTTTCTTTTGGAAGGTATTGTAAGCGGTCAAGTCAAGACCTCAGTTGAATATCGGGTATGAAAGTTCCAGAGGTTTGGTTTTAGGGTTGAGGGTTTAGCTAGGTTTGAGTTCCTAGAAAACTTCGTTGGGGATATAGGGACATTGATTTGTTATGGGTTGTAATCGTATAACGAACATACCTGGCATGCAGACTCTGATTTACCACTGGGGCACCTGAATAACTAAGCTTGAGTTCGCCTTAAAGCACTATCAAAGTTCTATGCCGGTTCTGGGACCTTTGAACCTTAATTGGGACAGGGTGCTTTTGGTGGTGTACTATGCTTTGTTTATAACTTTCAAACTCTAAACTTAACCCTAAACCCTAAACCCTACACCCTAAACCGTTAGCCTAAACCCTAAACCCTAAACCCTAAAGCCTCGAACCCGATACCCTCACGAATCTGATGCCACGGCCCTAATTGGGGTTTACCTTGACCCCCAAATAACCTATCTTTTCTAGGGTTCCTTGTTATGATTTCCTTATATAAATCCCAAAGGGGAGGTTTTCTAGGGTCCAGGTAGGGTTTAGGTTAGTTTACTTAGCCGAAGCCCGACACTCCAAAATGGTTTTGCTAGGGAGCACAAATGGGGGGTTTCCGAAAATAGGGGTCCCTAATATAGTACCTTGAATAGAAGGATTCTTATTATAAGGACCCCAAAAGAGGGTACCCCTTATTTTCGGCCCTCAGCTTAACTACACAGCAGCAAACCCTACATCCCGAAGCACAGTCTTAATCCTCAACGCCCAAACCTATCAAAACCCTGCTGGATCGAGCCTCTTATGACATACTAAGAACATAAGAAACCCTGATCAACACATAAAACCCTCAAAAAACAGGCCTATCAAACCGATTAAAACCCACAGATCCCTCGAAAACCTCTATGACCCCACCCCCCCCCCCAACAAACCCTAAGCCCTAAACACGAAAGAAGCTTCAAGAAGCTGAGCTTGCGTCTGCAGAGCCGCGGCCGCAGGAGGAAGCCATCGTTCCAACTAGGTACTACCTTTAACTATTGTCGGCGGTTTAGGGCTTAGGGTTTAGGGTCTAGGGCTTAGGTTTTAGGGTCTAGGGTTTAGGGTTTAGGTTTTAGGGTCTAGGGTTTAGGGTCTAGGGTTTAGGGTGGAACTTCAACATGTAGACTAGGGTTCCGTTAAGGGTGTTTTGAAGGGTTGCTGCAAGCGTTCTATAAGGTTTACATGATATGGGAGCCCTTCTAAGAGTTAGACGAAAGTTCTGGGGTACCTTATACTGTTACTATAAGAAGGATAGTTTGGGACTTGTATTGCTAGTTTTTCAGGATTCTATACTACCACAATCTACTTTGACATCCTAGTTCAAAATTACAGGGGCCCCACAGCACTAGTAGGGTGTGGTAGTTCAGGGTGCTTCTTTCTCATGTCTAGCTGTTCGATTTTGCTGGCAAGGAGCTTACAAGGTTTCGGAGGTACGTTTTAATCAGAGCCGTTCAAGGCTTCAATTCTTTTGAAGCGGGTTGTATACTGGCTGCATAAAGATTTAGGATATTAGGGCCCTGAAGCCTGCAAACCCCTAAACCCTAAACCCCAAAACCCTAATCCCTAAACTCTAAATCCCAAACTTTTACACCCTAAACCCCTAAACCCTAAACCCCAAATCCTAAACCCTAAGCCCTAAACCCTGAAAGGTTCAAGGGCGTGTAGCCAGTATAGTCAAGCCTGCAGAATCATGGCTGCGAGTCGACTGAGGGCTTGCTTCCAATGTGGCTTCAAGGTTTAGGAGTTTAGGGCATAGGCTTTCGGGCTAGGGTTTAGGGTTTAGACTTAGAGTTTAAGGTTTATGAAGTCAGGGCTTAGGGTTTAGGGCTTTAGGGTTTTAGGGTTGAGGGAGTAGGGTTTTCCGGGATCCGGGATGGTACCTTTGAGAAGATTTCTTGCGCCTTCGGTTCTTGATGGGATTCAGACTGCGAGTGCCGAGCCAGTGTCCAGAAACAAACGTTCTTTGGCGACGTTGACAGCTTGAGGGTTTAGGGTTTAGGGTTTCGGGTTTACGGCTTAGGGTTTTCGGCATTTGGGTCATGTGTGTGTGTGTGAGTGCGCACCTCTAGCTAACACAGGTAGCCTATCCTGCACGGACGATACAGATTCAACATAGAGCCTACTACTGGGGCCGAGCAAACAAGCTAGTAGACTATGATACGAATCCCTCAACCCTAAACCCTAAACCGGTAACGGTGCAGTCCAGAGGCTTTTAGGCTCAGGAGTTTGAGAGAAGGTCTTCCCACCCCTTTCCTTCCCTGAGTTCTAAGAACTGCACTGCCAGGTGCCTCTTTTCGCCGGGGCGAGGAAACGCCAATCCCGGGATCTACTTGTCCGGACCTTTAGGGCTAGCTAGTTCTTCATTGGGGCGGTTTAGGGTTTAGGGTTTAGGGCTTTATCCGAGCAACATAGGCAGCCATGGAACGCCGGGGGCGATTGGATGATGAGGCTTTCAATTCGCAGAGATGACACACTTCGTCAAGGCTATCACTGTTTAGGACACCCCCGAAACTCAAAACCCAGAGGAACAGCCTTGGAGACTTAAGTATCCTTAAGTCTGCAAGTACTTATATAGTGTATACTCGAAGCCGTGAACTACCTGCCAGTATATAGGAAGCCCGTGAGACCTACAGATATACACGAAACCCTAAACCCTAAACCCCAAACCCTAAACCCTAAACCCTAACCTTAAACCCTAAACCCTAAAGCTCTAAAGCCCTAAACTCTAAACCCCAAACCCTAAAACCTAAGCCCTAAACTCGAAACCTCAAGCCCTAAAGCCTAAACCCTACAGGCACATGGAGCCTTAGCTAGACCCAAGAGAAACCTAGGAATAAAAAGGGTGCCCTTTTTGGTTTAAAGGACTTTATAAGGGAACCCGAACCCTAAAAAAGGGAATAAGGGCCTACTCTGGGTCCTAGACCCCAAGGCTCCAGAAGACCCCAAGGCTCCACGGAATCGTCGTCAGCATCGTTGCACCAGGAACGTCCTGCGTCAGAGTAGGGTTCAAGATGCCGACACATAGAGAGCTTGCAAAGAGTGTTCAGGGTTTAGGGCTTTAGGGGTTTAGGGCTTAAGGTTTAGGGTTTAGGGGTTAGGGTTTAGGGGTTTAGGGGTTTAGGGGTTTAGGGCTCAAGGTTCAGGGTTTAGGGTTTAGGGTTCAGGGGTTTAGGGGTTTAGGGGTTTAGGGGTTTAGGGATTAAGTTAGCATGAAGTCCATGTAACTACCTGTAACCCCAAACCCTACAAACAGTAGGTTATGACCCCTTAATCATATGGTCGAACCCTTAAAACGGTAGGGTTTTGGATTCACCGGTAGTTTTTTCATCATATCTTCAACCTATTGATGAATACACCATATACGCAACCTGATACTACACGACATTACTACAAGTCTAGCTCCAAACACCTTCGGTGAGTACGTCGAGGGCCGTCGCGTGTGAAGACACGGACGCGCACGGAGGGCACACATACCTAAGCAATTAACATATATTCGCAAAATGCCTGGCTTTATATTCAGAATCCGCTTCAAGCCAAAATTGATATACCATATCGGTGCACGGACCGTATCAAAACCCAACAAAGACTAACAAGATCCTGTAAGACAAGCAACATGGTACAAACAGGCATTAAGATTTGCAGCAGGGTCGGGGGCGCGGGGGGGGGGGGGGGGGTGGGGGGGAGGGAATGTACTTGTGCATGAATACCATAACATCATAAAGTCTCAATACAATACACATCAGGACCCCTCAACCTTAAAAGCCTGACAAAAAACACAAAGATTGCAAAGACTTCGGGCCCCTGCACTTGGAGCCTCCCGGGCTTGAACCTTACAACCCGAACCCTAAGCCCCAATACCCAAAACCCTAACCTCCTAAACCCTAAACCCCTAAACACTAAACCCCCAGACCCCAAAACCCTAAATCCTTTAGGGTTTACCTGGACCTTGAAGAACCTACCTTTGTTTAAGGACTTATGCAAGGAGATCAGAGGAAGGATCCCTGAGAAGGTAAGTTCTTCAGGGTTCAGGTAGGATCCCTAAACACCAAAACCCTAAACCCCTAACCCCCAGCCCCTAAACCCAAAACCCTGAAGCCCTAAACCCTGAAGCCTAAACCCCTAAATCCCTAAACCCTAAAAGGGCTCAGGGTCTATGAAACCCCTTGGTCCCCTTGCTTTGGGCTCCTCTTCCTCATCCTTAAGGACGAAATGACCCTTAAAAGTAGGGGCCCTATACAGTTATACTATGAAATCCCTATTCTGGTATATGAACCCTAAACCCTAAACCCTAAAGGCCCTAAACCGTTAACCCAGAACCCCTAAACCCTAAACCGTTTTGGGGGTTCATGTCGTCCTTGAGGATCCTCCTGGGCGTTGACGGACATGATCGAGCGGGCGGACGAAGCTTAAGCATCGCCTGCTCCAAACCCTACCTAGACCCTTAAATGTAGTACCTTTTATTGGATGACCTATTTTATGGTTAGGATCCTATAATAAGAAACTAAGGTAACCAAAAAAAGGTACTACATTTAGGGGTCTATATAGGTAAGCCCTAAACTTTTTGCGAGGGTTCAGGGTTTAGGGTAGATGCAAGACCCAAGCGTCGAAGATAGGTTTCTAAGTGTGTTATAAGTGCTTTAAGACAGGGGTTTCTGGAGGGTTTAATAGAATCGGGACCGTAGTTGTACGAATCGTGTTTCGGGGATATCGCAGTATACCTATGTAGGGACTATAAACAGATATTATAACCCTAAAACCCTAGACCCTAAACCCCAAAATAGGGATTCTGAAAGTATTGTCAACGAATCTTGTTTTTGGCTTCGGGCTTCCAGGCTTCAGTTCAGTGCTTCAAGCGCTAAACTAGGACCCCCCGCCCTAAAGCACATAAGCAACAGTTTAGGGTTTAGGGTTTAGGGGTTTAGGGGTTTAGGGTTTAAGGTTTAGGGTTAGGTAAGGGATCTCCCCTATAAGTCCCCTTGCAAT